AGTCTGCCTCCCGCTCTTTCTTTGCCTAGCAGCCTGTGGGAAGGCTGACGCCTACCATCCTGGCAGCTGCATTGTAGTGCTGGGGTGTAATGATGAGGCATAACCTCTGCTCCCCAAGACCCATGTGGTTGCTCGTATAGGACAGAAGCGATTAAGGCACCTTAAAAATGTGCGTTATGTACCGTGGCCTCTGCTCCAAGGATCTGTAATGGGGAGGGTGGTTCCAGCAGCCCAGCTCTGCTAAGAAGGAAGGCTGTATGCTGTACGAGGGGATGATACAGGCTGTGTCTACTTTTTACTGTGGGTATGTCCCATGCTCCTGGGCTTTTCTGGTTGCCCCCTTCCCCTTTCTTCTGCCTTTCTCCGAGGCATTAAGTGCTGGCTTCAGCCCAAGCTGGGGATTTTGACTGAGCCACGCCAATGCTCCTGCTGGGACATAAAGCCAGAGGTTCCTGGCTAGAAGGTCTTGCCCCTCTGGTCAGGGTCAGACCAATATCATATTTGGGGTCAGGAAGGAATTTTACCCCACGGTCAGATCAGTATAGACTGGTGGGGGTTGATTTTCTCTGTTATAATAGAGACTCTCTGTGTCTCTATTATAAAGGGCATGGCCCGTTTCCTGGGATCTCTTGATCTTATATTGCAAGACGCAAATGGTAATCTTGTGGCTACACCAGACAAAAAAAGCTGATATTTTCAACAGTTTCTTTGCCTCTCTTTTTTTTGAACAGGGACCAGGACATCCCTCTTACCAGAGGTAGGGATAATCTTAGGAATACCTCTGTCAGGCCTTCAGTCAGCGCAGATATAGTTAGGAATCTTCTGGAAGGGCTAGACATTTTTAAATCTGCAGGTCCAGATGCCCTCCACCCAAGGGTGTTGAGGGAGCTAGCAGGGGTCATCGCTGAGCCCTTGGCCTGGCTGTATGAGAACCCGTGGTCATCTGGCCAAGTGCCAGGGGATTGGAAACTAGCTAATGCAGTCCCAATTTTCAAGAAAGGGAGGAAGGAGGACCCAAGTAACTATAGGCCTGTAAGTCTCACCTCGGTGCCCAGGAAGATCTTGGAGAGAATCATCAAGGAGCACATCTGCGGAGGCCAGCAGGGGAGATCATGCTCAAGGGCAACCAACATGGGTTCATCAAAGGTATGTCTTGCCTGACCAACCTGATTGGCTTTTACGACCAAGTAACTAAATCCTTGGATGGTGTTGCTGTGCACGTAGTCTTTTTAGACTTTAAGAAGGCCTTTGACACGCTCTCTCACCCCATCCTCATCAATAAATTAAGCAACTGTGGCATTGATGCCTGCACAGCTGGATAGGTAAAAAAACTGGCTGATGAGGCGCACCCAGAGAGTAGTTGTGGACGGGTTGTACTCAACCTGGCGAGTTGTGAGCAGTGGGGTACCCCAGGGCTCAGTCCTCAGGCCTGGACTGTTTAACACCTTCATCAGCGACTTGGATGAGGGGGTGGAAAGCATGCTGTCCAAGTTTGCTGATGACACTAAGATGTGGAGCAAGGTGGACACACTTGAAGGGAGAGAGAGGCTGCAACTAGATTTAGACAGACTACGAGAAGTGGGCAGACGAGAATAGGATGGGGTTCAGCGTAGACAAATGCAGGGTGCTGCACCTTGGGAGAAGGAATCCACAGCATACATACAGGCTGGGGAGTTCCCCTCTTGAAAGCGCAGAGGCGGAACGGGATCTTGGAGTCATTGACTCCAAGATGAACGTGAGCCACCAATGCCAGACCGCAGCCAGCAAGGCCAGCCATACCTTGTCATACATCCCAAGATGCATCTCAA